AATCTCTTCAGCTGCTCTGTCTGAATTTACCCCATACCCAGCCCAGTGCCTGGACCACAGCATGGCTCAATCTGAGCGTGTTTAAGAAACAAACAGGTCTTTCCTGGTGGGGCTTTTTGAGGGTAATCATTTCCTTCTGTTCTTCCTATCTCTCTTGCCCCATCCTCTGCAGCCTGGGCTAGAAAGGCTGCTTGTTCTTCACAAGGTGACCCATGGTCCATGGCGGCCAGAGCCTTGATGCAAAGGCAGAAGCTGCTCATGGACCCCCCTGGAGCCTCATTCCTGATCAAAGAGGCTGCCTTCCAGGAGTGAAGAAGTGAGGGTCACTCTGCAACATCAAACAGAAACCAAAATTAAAATGATTATTTAACGCTGGAAGAACCCTACGTTCAGAGAAGTGAAGCAAATTGCTCAAACTGCATAGCTAGTTTGATCATTTATACCGCATGGGGAAGCATGTATCTTATCTGGATAAGATCCTTGCCCTTGTGGAGCTTAAAGTCTACTACAGGGGTCAGCAAACTTTTTCTGTAAAGCAGCAGAGAGTAAATGTTTTACAGTGTATGAGCCATAGTCTCTCTGCCATGACTTAATTCCCCCCCCCTGAAGTGTGGAAGCAACCATAGTGATCCATAACTGAAAGGCGTGGGCTGTGCTCCGGTAAACCTTTACGTACCAACACACATGATGAGACACATTTGGCTTCCAGGTTTTCCTTTTTTCAACCCTTGGGCTAGTGGAAAAGGGACTCGTGAATGAAACAATTGCATGGCTCACTGTAAAGTTAGTGGTTCAAAGGGAAGAGATGTTCTTCTGGGAACATAAAATAGGAGGACCGGAGAGTCGGAGAAGGTACTCATGGAAAGTGTCATTTGCAGGGGGAGGGTGCCTTTTATGTGTTTATTTTTGTAAATTTCAGTATAGTTAACATACAGTGTTACATGTGGCAGGTGTATGATACTGTGATTCAACATTTCTGTACATTACTCAGTGCTTCTCAGGATAAGTGTCCTCTTTAATCCCCACCATCTGTTTCACCCATCCCCCCACCCACCTCCCCTCTGGTGACCATCCATTTGTTGAAGTGTCATTTTAAGTGAGATATAAAGATGAGGAGTCATTGATTAGGTGAAAGGAAGGCATGGGAGGGTTAAGTGTTTTCAGCTGACAGAATAGTTGGTGCAAAGACCCTGTGGCCAAAGGAACCATAGCTCTTTTCAGACACTGGAATAGAGCCTTGGAACACAAGAGGGATGGTGCGGGAGGCCAGCTCATGCAGAGAGTGATGAAAACCACAGGGTAAGAGTGTGCTCTTAATCCCAAGAGCAATGGGAAGCCACTGCTTTTTTTACTTTAAGGGGTGATATGACTGGATTCTCCATATGAAGTGCTCACTCTGGCTTCTGGCTGGGAATCTCCCTGACAGCGATCAAAAGAGACCCGGGTTGATAGGCAGCTCAGCACCCTTTCCCCCACTAACTATTTTATGTTTGCTATTCTAACAAATCTTGCTCTTCTTCCAATTCCAAAGTTCACATTGCATTATGCATTTCATGGCCACACAGCTCCATCCCATTCCATTTTTCTCACCTCCTGGCTTTCCCTCCCCAGCCCAATCCCCGACTAACTTTGTAAAACTTGCAAGTTAAATTTTTCAAAGACTGTTTCTGACAAGGCAGTGGGAATTAGATTTGGTGAAGCCCTTCATAAAAAATTGAAGACACGCTATATTAACATACATTGATTTATTCATAGTGTTTCATTACAAGTAAGTGAGGATCCTGTAATACCAGGAAAGGTTAGGAGAGCAGGGGAGCACAGTATATTATATTGACAGCTCGGTGGAAATTGAGTCACTTTTGGATTGAATTTGGAGCGCAGAAAAGGAATTGGCTAGTAAATAAGGCATGAGTTTTACCTCCCAGTGTCTGCATATCAGTGTGCTTGCCACCAGCCCAGGCAGGGGGACAGGGGCAGAATTTCAAAATGCATGAGCACCTGATGGACTGGGGTCGGCTGCCACCCAGCAGAGCTCTCTGGATGTCTCTGTTCTTGTGCCACTGGGAAACTGGAATCCAGCTGTACACGGGGGGCTCAGCTCTCCCATTTGCTCACCACCCTCCAGTCACACTGGGCTCTCCTCACTCCTCCCCACCCTGTTCCTCCCCCAGGCCTTCACCCAGGCAGTTCCCCTTGCTGTGAACCTAGAATGCTCTCACCTGTGCTCTGACTCTGTCATCATCAGACGTCAGCTCACTTCTCCCCTGAGAAACCTCCAGGAGCACACTGTCTTAGTTTGGCGACCCTGAGACACAGACTCGAATACAAGTAGATTACTGAGAAGCGGGAGTGGGGAAGGGAAAGGAAGGTAGCCAGTGATGGATGTGTTCCCCAGCTGGCTACCTTTGGAGGCAGTCAGAGTGGAATCCCTCCAGGAAGTCCCCTGGGATGCTGTGGGGGTGTCACGTGGGAGGAGCCCAGCGAATGTGTACATCAGCTACCGTTAGTGTGGTCGCTGGGGTGCTAATTATCCAGAGCTTCCTGCAAGTGCCCCCCCCCCCGCCTCGGAACAGCACTCACGCACAGAGAGGCAGATGTTTGCAGTGCTTCCCTCTGAGAAGCGTGGAGGCAGCAGAGGTGACCAGAGGGAAAGTTGGGAACAGGTTCACCAAGGACCTGCGGCCCCGGGTGCTCCTGGCCGGTGGCTCTGCTTGCAAAGTGCCCAAATCCTTAGGCTCCGCGTGTTTCTCCTCCAGGGTTTGCTCTGCTCCAAGGAGTCTGGCCTCGCTCCTCGGCAGGTGACATTGATTGCTACACAGCTACTGCTGAACGGAGGACAGAGAACTTACCTCTGTCTCCAAAACGTCTGGTGCCCTTGCCAGAAACAGCAAACTGCTTATTTTGGTTATGAAGTTGGTGTGTTCCTGTTTCAGTCTGGGTTTGGTCTTCCCGTCAAGTCTGAGACGTTCTTTACAGAAGACAGAGTGATGTTAGGTGTCTGTGTCTTTGCCTTACCTCGCTCTGGAATGGAAGACCCCAGGGCACAAGGTCAAGCCTGCATTCACGTGGGCTGTTCCCAGCAGAACACAGCACAGGTCCCAGAATACAGGCCTGCACGGGAAACATTTGTGAAGGAGCAAATAAGTGGATGAGTAAACGGATGAATGCATTCTTTAGGTAATGACGTGTTTGTCTCCAAGCCCGGCAGCTCCTTACAGAATAAGGAGCACAGCGTTCAGATCCAGCAGACCTGGGTTTGCTCATGCGTCGGTGGTAGAACACTGCATGATCATGAGAATGCGTGATCTCTAGTGACACGGGACAGCCTGCATGAATCTCACCAACATAATGTGGAGTGAAAGAAGCCAGACATGCAAGAGTACACCGTGTATGGTTCCATTTATATAAAATACAAGACCGGGCAAAACTAGTCTGTGCTGTTAGAAGTCAGGATAGAGGTTATCCTTGCTGGGTTGTGGGGGCGGGGGGGGAGGGGGGAGGGGCGGATCGGAAGGGGGTACAAAGCCTACGTCTTGGTTCCAGTGATGTTCTGTCTCTTGACTGGGTGCTGGGTTAGAACAGACTAGATGAAACAAACACACAATCCTGTGTTCGTCACTTTAACAACTGTGTGATTTAGGAACGTGGCACTCAAAATGTGATCTGTGGGGGCTGGTGCTGGAATGCCACCTGTTTGGTTACTTTCACAGCAGGGTAAGTGCAGAAATTGAGAGTGAATGCTTAGAAACTCTCGTAGTACCTTGACATGGCTGCAACACCCAAGTGTGGGATGAGTGGATGGGTCTCATTGCACGGAGTGCAGACCAATTTGGCTATGACCAGACTCACGTGATGAGTCCCATGTGGTCTGCAGATCATGATGGGTCCGCAGTGGATTGAGAAACACAAAACTGGGCCTTCACCGTAGAGAGTTTGGAAAGTGTTGATTTCATGCAAGTTACTTCCAGTTGAGCCTCAGTGTCTCCAACATTAAAAATGAGAATAAGTATCCTGATGCCCCAAGGTTTGGGGAAGAGGAACAAGATAATGCATGAAAAAGCACCAGAGAAAACAAATAATACATTATATGTTAAAAAAAAAAAAAAGAAGATAGCAGGAGGGGAAGAATGAAGGGGGGGAAATCGGAGGGGGAGACAAACCATGAGAGACGATGGACTCTGAAAAACAAACTGAGGGTTCTAGAGGGGAGGGGGGTGGGGGATGGGTTAGCCTGGTGATGGGTATTAAGGAGGGCACGTTCTGCATGGAGCACTTGGTGTTATATGCAAATAATGAATCATGGAACACTACATCAAAAACTAATGATGTAATGTATGGTGATTAACATAATAATAAAAATAAATAAAAAAAAATAAAGTGAAGAGCAGTAAAAAAAGAAAAAGCACCAGAAAGTGCCACGTGGACACCAAGGGAAATGGGAACTGCCTTTTAAATTAGCCTTCCAAACCATTCTTATTGGGTGCTGTGCATAAACCCCGCTCTTGGTGTTGTCCAATATGGCAGCCTCTGGCCACACGTGGTTCCTATGCTTTTGAAATGTAGCTAGTCCAGATGGAGATGTGCCTTAAGGACAAAGTACATACTAGATTTCTAAGATCTAATATGAATAACAGAATATAAGATACCACGTCAAGTTTTAAGGCTGATGACAGGTTGAAATAATTCTTTGCAAATATCGGGTTCAACAAAATATATTATTAAAATTAATTTTACTTTCTTCTCTTTTCACGTGACCACTAGAAGGTTGAAAAGCATGTGCATGGCTCACATTCTGTTTCTGTTGGGCAGCAAGGCTCCCGTGTATCAACAGTGGAGTATTCGAGGCTGGGATAATCTGGAAGGTGGACGGTCACAGTAGAGCTTGCTTTTCAAGCCCACATGCCTCCTTCTCTTTGCTTCTCCTGATGTTCCCCTGGATGAGCTCTGTCCAGCTTCCTGAGTGAGGTATTTACTTGTTTGTTTGCTGACTTGTTGTACAGATCAACTACAAGGCTGTTGGCTCACTGGACCCGAGTGCTGACCTCTCCAGCCAGCGGGGGAAAGTCTTCAAGCTCCGGAATGAAACCCACCACCTCTTTGTGGGTCTGTACCCGGGGACCACCTACTCCTTCACCATCAAGGCCAGCACAGCAAAGGGCTTCGGGCCCCCTGTCACCACTAGGATTGCCACCAAAATTTCAGGTATCTCTCTTAATAGAAAGGGAAAAGGGAAGAAGCTTATTCTGGGTTTTTTCCCCCCATTCCTAATTTTCTGGGAGCAAAAAAGGGCAGAGCCAGCTGTCACCTGGTGGTATTGGAGCAATTAGGACGATGCAGTCCCTAACGTGTTAGCATGGTAGTCTTGTGAAGAAACCAAATCCACGAACTTCCTAAAGTGTAAAAAACATACTAATTAGACTAGACCCCAGGAACGCTAAGTGATTCAGCAAATAATTTACCACACAACTGCATTAAATAGTACATTTTTTCTCATACAAATTGGTTTGTAAAAATGTGCTTTCAGCAATATTCCTTTTGGCAGTACAGAGCACAGCACAAGTTCTCATGAAATGTCTGAGAATGAATGAATGAATGAATGAATGAATGAATGAATGAATGAACGAACGAATGAATGACTAGTACAAAGCCTTAGAAGTCTGAGATTTTGCCTGCCATCCCCAGGAGGGCCCCCTCCACCACCGGGCAACATCAATATAGAATTATCTTGGATCCCATTTTACAATTTTCATTTTTTGAGACTACCTGTGCAGTTCTGGCCTGCATACATACATATTTTGCATAGATACCCACAGTGGTTTTTGCAGCTTAATGTTTTCACTTATCTTTATACCATAAGCATTTTCCATGTTGGTACATTGCTTTCATGATAATGTTCTGGCAAGTGGATGGACGTAATTTAATTAAACATTCCCCTGTGGTTGGATATATTTGGTGCTTCCATGTTTTTATAACATAATGCTTCAATAAACATGTTACAGAATAAAGTTTAATTCCTTGATTTGGATTATAACTTTAGGATTAAATTCCAGAAATTGAAATACTGAATTAAAAGGCATGTGGGTTTTAATAGCTCTTAATATAAATGGCTAGATTACCTTCCCAAGGGATTAGACTTTCATACTCCTATCAGTTGGGGCTGAGAGAAGGGAGGGTCTCATGAAAAAAAAAAAGAGAGAGAGAAAAGATAAGAGGAACTAGTTCATCACTGCTGTAATTTGCATTTCAAATGTGTTGAAGAAGATCGGCTCTGCCTTCATGTCTTTGTTAAGTACTTAGACTTCCTGCATCTGTTTATTTGGTGTGGAACTTTTTGATTCCTGAGGGCTGCTGGCCATCTCATGGCCATTCTTCCCCAGACTCTTGTGCACCTGGGAGGGACCTGCGGGCAGGTGGGAAGGAGAGCATTCTCTGCTGAAAGCCTGGGACACCATGTGACTCTCACCCAACCCTTTCCCACCTGTCCCGCTACTGGTCATCCTGGGTATCTTTAGGGATGGCCCCAACGGGGAGGTGGTGAGCTGGGTTTGGGACCCGTGCTGAGTGCCCCCCTCTCTCTGCTCTCTGCCCAGCTCCATCGATGCCTGAATATGACACAGACACCCCACTGAATGAGACAGACACGACCATCACAGTGATGCTGAAGCCCGCTCAGTCACGGGGAGCCCCTGTCAGGTGAGAAAGCTTCTTCCCTTGGACTTTGCCAGCAACTACACTTCGCCCCAGGGTTGCAGCTTTCAGATTGGTTCAGTTTGGGGGCACCTGGGGGGCTTAGTCAGTTAAGCATCTGACTTCTGATCTCAGCTCAGGTCTTGATCTGAGTCATGAGTTCAAGCCCTGTGTTGGGCTCCATGCTGAGCATGGAACCTACTTTAAAAAAAAAAAAAAAATCGGCTCAGCTGAGTTCAACAAGCATGCGTTGAGCATCTTATATGCCAGGAATGGATGGGGCACAAGGGATCAAAACGATTTGTTTATTCATTCCTTCAGCAAACATTTATTGGGCACTCACTCAGGGCCCGGCACTGTTTAACTGCCTGGGAGACAGCAGTGAACCAGCTGTGAAGGAGTCATTTTCTAAAGAAAGTCACACTTGAGTTGGGAAGCAAGAAACATGAGAACATAATTACAATACAGTGCATGCTTATGGAGATATACATAGGTCATTATGAAAGCTCAGGGAAGACATTCCCAGCTGACATTCTCAAGTGACACCAAGCTGTATCTTAAATGTTATATAAGATTTTGCCAAAGTAGTAAGAGGGTTCAACATGAGCAAGGCATGAAGGAGAGAAACAGCCTGATATCATGGGAGCAACCAGGAGTAGTTAATTCAAGGCTCAGGACTTTCCTTTAGCATCAAGGTCAAGGCAGGAGCAGTTGGGTGAGAAGGGGGGCCATGTTTGAGAAGTTCCAGCTTCTCTGAGGGCCCTTAGGGAGCCACTGGATAGTCCCCTGCAATGTTACTTTTATGATACTGGAGGCTGGAAGACCAGCCAGGATGGAGGCTATTGAGAGGGTCTAGTTCTCTGTTTTCCGACCTGGATCCAGCTCTACCCAGAAAGTGTAGGTGGCAGAGGAAACAGAATCAACGGCCAACAGCTTGGAAGTTGCCATGTATTCTAAAGATTTCGAACAGTGTTTGACTCTAAGTTAGGCCTTGCAACAGGTGTGTGTAGTACTCATGGAGCATCTGGCCATAGAACTTTTGTCTTATATTTTCCACATGGGTTGTTCCAGAACTGTCCTACCTGTGATGAGCCAGAGCAGATGGTGGCTCTTCCGTCAGATGAATCGTCACCTGACTTACTGTTTTTCTCCCTGTTACTCTCAGGCAACGTGGTCCTTTGCTTCTCTCTATGCACGGATTTCACTCTCTCTGTACATTCTATAAGTGATTGTCCTCATTTTCACGTGAAGGTACCAAGGCTCAGAAATGCCCAGGAACACACAGGAGTTGGTAGGAGAGCTGAACTCAAATGCAGGTCCTCCAGGTGCCAAATCATATGTTCCCCTTGGGCCACCAATGCCTCTCTCCCTTTCCCAGCTCAGCCTCTCATACAGCAGCACTGGTCACTACTTCAAAATCTAAGAGAGTTTCTTAGGTGGTAAGAGTATGGTCCGGGAAAAAGGAACAGCTTGTGCAACATTGCAGAGCAAGTTAGCAGCTGACCCAGGTGCACATGCCAGATCTGACCGAAAGCCTATGACCTTTATATTGGAGACCCCAGTGTCCCCTTGCATTACTGCAAGCCTGCAGATCAGCAAGGCGACCTCATCAGCTGGCATCCAACCGTACGGCTCCCAGCAGGTGCGGGTTCTCTCTAGCTTGCTTCCAACTGCTGGTTGCTGTGTGGGGTGATGGAGAGGATGTGACTTTGGTGACAGCTGACCTGGATTCAGATGCTGCTCCATCCCTGCTGTGTGACTTTGGGCAAGATACTTAATCTCCCGACCCTCAGTTTTCCTTATCAGGAAGGCATGGATGGTAGCTGTTTCATAGAGGCTGAATAAAATATGGAAGTGCCCAAAGCAAGGCAGACCTTAGAGAGTTAGTTCCTCCCTTAGCTTTGCTTCTTCTCTGTGGCACTTAGGGGGTTCTATTCAGAACAGTATTTTTGAAAATCTACCCTCACTATAGGGTCACAGTGTTGCCCACTTCCTCATGGTCACAGAGCCAGTAAGTGATGAGATGAGGCTTACAACCTGTTCAAATTTCCAGAGCTTTTTGAGACCCTAATTCCATGGTAGGAAAGAAAGGGCTTTGTTTTTTTACGTAGGAGCCCCTAACTTCATTCCAGCAGAAAGTTGCACAGAAACTTCTTTTCAGAAAAAAAAAAAAGTGTTATACTGAGAAATAAGCAATCTTGGTCTTGCCCAGTGGCAGGATCAAGTTACTTTTTCTACAGAGGATCCAGGGTCCCATCCTCAAAATGAATCAAATTATATATCTGTGAGCCTCTGAAAACTCATCAAGCCCAGCTGAACACAGATGGGAGTAATTATCACCATGTCTTATTGGGCAACTGTTAGGTTCCAAGAATTTAACCTTGACTAACCTATTCGTATTATTATATCCCTGTTAGAAATGAGGAAACTAAAAGCTTATGGTCACAAAGCCAGTAAGTGATGTGATGGGACTTAACACCCAGGCCTGCCCAACTCCAGAGACCAGCAAAAGGGTCCTCTGAGCAGCCCAAACCAATGTTCCTGGGGAAGCTTTTCCAGTCCCCCCCAAAAGGGGCCCCTTACATTTCCCCTCTGAGCCTGCATGCTCTTAGTTTGCACTAAGCTCATTGCATCCTAAGACTGCCGTGATTAGGAGGTGGGAATGGAAATGCCCCAGTAGCAGTGAGAAATGACAGTGAGCAGGGAGCAAAAAAAACAGGGCAAGTCTACAAAACAATCACAAATGACTCAGCAAACAGGGAGGTGTACCTGCTGTGGCCCCTGCAGCCACTCATAGCCATGGATGTTCATTAGCTGTTCTGATTCAACTAAAAATGTAGCGTTAGTTTCTGCGTCTTCAAGTGAAAAGAGCCTGCTAGTTTCCGTGTAATAAGGAAGCCCTCACTACGTGCCTGTTGCCATACATAAACTTTCTGTAACCTCACAACATTACCATAATCGTCTCCCCATTTTGCAGATACAGAAACTGAGATCAATAGAAGCCAAGTAAGTTGACCCAGGCCACGAGACAAGCAGTGGTAGAGGCAGAATTTAAACTCAGTTCAGCTGACCTTAAGCCAGCGCTCATTTCACACTACCTCCCAAAGAGAAAATTGTGCATGCCATATTTTCGTGACATTTCCATTGGAAAAAAAAATTAAATGTCACCGCTCAAAGGGGCAATGCTTGGTGTCTCGAAATGTCTGGCTGCTTTTCTTCTCAAGGCTCTGGATCACTGAGGGTGGGTATACGGTCAGTTTCGGGAATTATTTTCGGACTGTTGTTTGGGCATTTGCCAAGAAGGGAAGGAGACTAGCCAGTGTCAGCCTGCATGACTTCCAGGTCAATGGCAATGACAGCAGTGGCAATGGCACAGAAGATTTCAGTTACCTTAACCCTCTTTCACCTTGAACTCTAGGCACTAGGATGTCCATCTGGGAGGCAGTTGGCCATTAGGTCATTCAGCATATATATATTGAGCCCTTGCTGTGTCCCAAGAACTGAGCTAAGCAATGGGGATAGAGCAAGACACAAGGTCGATACACACCTGTCCTCTTGAGGCTTAGCATCCAGCAAGTGTGCATGCAAATGTGGAGGGAGGCAGGGCATGGAGCAGGTAAGCAGACCCAGTACTGAAACTGGCAGAACAAGATACTATGAAGCCTGTGGGGACAGTGTATTGATGGAGAGAACTGGACTGGCCAGAGGAATGGGCACAACCCTGGCAAGCAGGCCAGTGAGGAGTCCCACAGGTCAGGGAAGCATGGGCATCAAGAAGACAGTGAAGGCTCTCTAACTGTAGGACACAGTGAGCGCACTGGATGGATTGGGTCATGGATGCCTGGAATCGTATTTTCTGGTTGATAGCTCCTTTAATTCCATTGTATCATGTGATCTTCGCTTACCCAGTGAGTCAGCTGGTGGGGAGTACCATCTGCATATCAGAGGAGGAAGCTGAGGTCTAAGATGCTAAGAGGTTGGCCCAAGGTCATGGAGCTCGTTTCCATGGAGCCAGTACACAGACCTCGCTTCCTGCTTCTGAGTTCATTGCTCCCTCAGGACATTCTGTATTCTCTGCCTGTGAGGTCTCGGTAACCTTTTGGTAGGGCTGTTGAGTGAGCTCTCATTGACTTGGGAATTTGGGGCAGGCAAGGTGACTTCACAGGGGGCCTCCAGCCCAGGATGGTGCAGGTCCAGCCTGTAACTTGTGAACCCCAGCACGTCCCTGAGTGAAGCAGCCGGTTCTCCAGCAGGCTCTCTCCTGAGCCTCGGCTGCAGGCCCCCTCCCTGCCCCCTGCAGCTCTCTCCCACCTTGTGCCAGCAGTGTTCTGGCCCTGGTTCAGCCAGACCCCAGCCCCTGCTCTGCTGCTTGCTGCCCCTGGGAAGCCCCAGGGGTCCGGCTCTGCCTGGTAGAACTGAGCTTGCAGGGAGATGAGGAGGAGAAGAGTGGATTGTCTTGCGGGGCTCCTGCACCCCCATCCCTCCATCCAAACCACCTCGGAAGCTTGGCCTATTTTTCTAATATTCCACAATGGAGATTTATTGCTTTTGCATTGCTTTCCCCAGGCCTTCAAAGATTTATTGGTTTTTAAGTGACAGAATCCCAGAATTGCTTAAAAGATCAATCAAATTGTGACTAGAATCTAATATTCAGCTCCAACTCGAACCCACCAAACCTTCTTCCCCCATGCCTCACCTGTCACACTGATGTATCTGTGGCAACCTTCATAAGAAAGTAACTTGGCCGTGAATTTATCACCCATAATGCAGTCCCTGAAGCAGAGCCCCAGAGTCCGTAGCAGACCTTCCCCCCAGGTCCCCAGCTGGCTTCTTTGGGGATGTCCTTCCGTCCCCCTGCTCTCCTTCCCCTCCTGTCAGTCACAGGGACCTGCCCACCACCGCACCCCAGAATCAGCGGTGGGATTAGCTCTCTCTTGTACCCCTCTGCCACACTGCACCCACTCCCCTGACCTGCCGTGGTGGCCTTGCTGGTTTGCCTGCCATCAGTTGTTCTTCCTTCAGTCCATCCCCCACTGAGCTGCTGGAGTACTCCCTTAAATTCTTAAGTGAGTCACTGGCTTTCCACCCTGTGAGGTTCGACCTTCTTAGCACGGAATTCAAGGCCCATCAGAATCTGGCTATGACCTCCGCTTCTGGTTTTATTCCCCTTCACTCTGCCCCCTTTACCAGTGTTTACTCAGCAGGACCCAGGGGGTTTCCTTCCTCATTCTTTCTTTAATTGTGTTATGTACCTGCCAGTAGGTTTTCTTTGGCTCTGTGTCTTGCCCGCCCCTCACTAGACGATGAGCTCCAGCAAACCTGAGGCTTGACACTGATGGATGCCCTTTCCCTGGGACAGTGGCCGGCATTTAGTAGGCCCTCGGAAACACAATTAAGCAAGTGATTCAGCACGTCTGTTTTGCACACCTAGTAGATGTCACGTCCTGGGACTGGAGATGCAGTTCACAGGTGCTGCCTTCAGCTGTCTCCGAATCCATAAGAGCATCCCCCGGTAGAACTTCCTGCAGCGATGGAAATGTCCTGTGTCTGTGCCGTCCAGTCATCACCTCCAAACAGTCATCACCTCCAACTCAACCACCTGCTGAGCACTTGAAATATGACCAGTGTGACTGAGGAACTGGAGTTTTAAATTTTTAAGTTACTTTAAAGAGTCTTTCAAGGTCATTCATAGCTCATGGCTACCATTTTGGACATGTAGTTCTGTCAGGAAGACAATCAGAGAAAGAAAAAAATGCTTGGTCAGAAGTTTCTATGAGAGTGTTCTGTGCAGAGGCATCCATCCTGAGCCTGATGAGCTCAGGTGCAAAAAGGGCTTCCTGGAGGCAGTGTTGCCAGCTGAGGGGAGTTTGCTCCATGAAGGAGGGGGAAGCAGCACATGTGGGAGACGAGGCAGAGAAGGTACACGTGTGGTCACGAACCGCACCGAGAACCGCAGCGCGCTCGGGAGGAGAAGGGGAGGGAGGCAAAGGAGCAGCCTGGAGCCAGGTAGAGAATCTTCACTCTGGGTTTGGCCTTTGTCCTGACAGGTATAGAGGACACTGTGTTCGCCTCTCAGCAGTCGAGCGCTTGCCTTGCCGTTCTCCGTGCCGACCTTGTCTTCTCTACCTGGCCGGTGTCCGGGTCCCACCCTGCGGCGGGACGCATCGGCTCCCGTCTGGGCTCCCACTCACGCGGGCTGTGCTCCCCGGCCAGGGACTTGTAGTGTCGGTCTCTACCAGCCCCTGACCCTTAGGTTCCTCCTACCGTAGCTCACTTCCCAGTTGGATCCATCGGAACAGCAAAGGCTTCTGGAATCAGATCCAGCCTTACGCAGTTGACTCGCTGAGTGGCCTTGAGCCAGTTGCTTCATTTCTCTGACCTTAAAGCTGCTTGCTGGGAAAATGGGAGTACCCACGTCACAGATTGTTTTAAAAGTCCAATAAGGTAAATTGTGTAAGGCGTGTCCGGTCGTTGTTCAGCTTGCTCCTTGGGGTGGCCCAGCTGTTGACAGAGAGCCACTCCCTGCCCTAGGAGCCACGGGGAAGGTGCTTCTCTGAGGCCTGCTGTGCACTGATGCCTGTTCGCTGTTTGCTGCTCGGACACCATGAAGATCTGCCTGCAGGGTGCTGGCAAGGGTGTGAC